TTATATTAATGTTAACTTTTGTTTATGAAATTAATGTTATATTGATGTTAACTTTTGTTTATGGAATTAATGTTATATTGATGTTAACTTTTGTTTACCAATTTGYCCTTATCATTGAAATAAAATAATTTTTTAATATTTTTTATTTTTTAATTTCCTAAAATAAAGTAAACTAATCTCAGCCATTGATCAAGAAAATTGACGGATGAGATTGGTTTACACGGTTTATACAAATGGGACAAGTTTTTATTTGAACGCTCCTCTCTCTCTCTATATATATATATATATATATATATTTATATTGTAATAGTTTTTGTTTTTAGGAAGGAATGTTATTTTGTGGCGATGATAGCTATGTGAGGTATATATCTTTGGTCCAATAAGTCATTTTTCATAAAATATAACGAAGATTTTGTCCTTAACAACACACATAACTAAGAGATTTATCAACATAAATTGAATCAGGTTGTAGGATACTAATAACTGATTTAACCTATGGCATTTAAGGTCGAGATAAAGGCGACCCACATCGTTAAACCATCGTCCTCCACTTCCGACCACCTGGAAACCCATAAATTATCTCTTTTAGATCAGTTATCGCCTTCGGTTTACCCTCCGATAATCTTCTTCTACGATACAAAGCAAGACTCGAACCTAACCCCTCTGCTCAAGGCCTCTTTGTCCAGAGTCTTGGCCTCGTTTTATCCATATGCTGGACGTATAAATGGAGACGCTTTTGTTGATTGCAATGATGACGGAATCCCGTATTCTGAAGCCATTGTTGATTGTTCTCTATCTGATGTACTTAAAGAATGCGATTTGAATTTGATGACCCAATTTGTTCCTTTAACTGAGGAATCTGTGAATCCTGACCACACGATTCCGTTGCTAGTCCAAGTGAGCTTCTTCAAGTGCGGTGGAATCGCAATTGGTGCCTGTTCTTCGCATAAGATCGGTGATGCGGCCAACTTCTTTACGTTTATTCGCGAATGGGCAAATGTTTCATTGAACGATAACTTGCTTTTGGTTCCAGATTTCACCATCTCATCTCTATTCCCTTCGATCGGTTCCTTGAATTTCAACACCGGGATCAAGATTCCGATGAACGAGAAACTCGTTCGAAAGAGGTTTGTTTTCGATGCTTCAAGTATATCATCACTCAAGGCCCAAACAACCCCTTCCACACGCGTTCAAGCCGTTTCTGCGCTCATCTGGAAATGCGCTATGAACGCGGTCAAGACCTCCGTTCATGGACCAGACAAGCCCGAGACAAAATCATCGATAGCGATGACGCTCGTGAATATGCGAGGACGGCTCAACCCGCCATTGCCGGAGACCTCCTTCGGCAACTTTGTTGGGTCTTTTTTGGCCGAGAAACGCTTTGACGACGATGGCGAGATTGAGTTGGGTGGCTTGGTGGCTCAATTAAGACATGGGTTTAAAGAATTCTGTGATGTTTACATGAAAGAAGTTCAAGATCCCAAAGATGGGATGCTTGCAATCTTGAATTATAGTAAGAAAATTGGGGAAATGTTGCAGAGGAATGGAACTGAAGTGTTCACGTTTAGCAGTTGGTGTGGATTCCCATTGTATGAGATTGATTTCGGGTGGGGAAAGCCAAGGTGGATTAGTGTTACAAACACGCCATTCAGGAATGGAATCATGATGATGGATACTAAAGAAGGGAATGGAATTGAAGTTTGGGCCAATTTGGAGGAAGACGTTATGGCCATCTTTGAACAAGACCATCACTTGTTGGCTTATTGTTCTTCGATTCCATGTGATCAATGAAAGGTAACAAATAGTCCTTCTCGATTCCTCTCTCAAAACAAAACAACATCATAGAATAAAATCAAATAACAAGGACAAAGAATAGAACGAATCATGAATAATTAAGAATCGACAAGTTTTTGCTTTTAGAATCGAGATGTATTCGTTTCATTGTGTGGGTATACTTCTATTATTGGTATATATATATATATATATATATTATTTCGTTTGTAATCGAACAAAAGATGAAAAGGTTTAATAGTTATTTCTTATGTTTCATCAATTATCGCCTTATCTAATCTCCATACTTATCTTAAATGAGGTCTTTCTTCCACATGATACAGAGATCACATTGTGTTGGATCATGAAATCGGAGTCACAACGAAAAGAAGAAGGGGAAAATAAACTATGACAACATAAAAATACCTGACCGCGTGCTTAACCACCAAACTTCAGACATGGGAACATTATTAAGATTTTGCAAAAGGTCCAATCTTGGACAACATCTATAACATTTGCCGTAGGAATAACAGAAAAGTTGTAAAAGGAAAAAAAACACATTAATTAACCGAAAAAGCACATATATAAGTTACGTTATAGGCTGTAAAAGGTAAATTACTTTCTAAAACTTCCAACCCTGGACATCATAACATCTATAAGACTTCTAAAACGTCCAACCCTGGACATCACATCATCCAAAAGATATAACGTTTTCCTCTTCCTCTTCGTTTGTAGGTGGAAGTGGAACTCGTTTACAGTAAATTCAATAGATGAATGTGGATAGAAAGTGTAAACCGTAGAAACCAGATCTTTAATTTACTCTAAGTAAAGATCAAATTACAAAAAATTAAGAAAATTATGGTTTTCATAAATATAGTTCCAAAATTACACCAGTGACCTTGGGATTTGCATTTTATTACGTATTTCATTCCTAACCCTAAAGATCATTGGAGCAGCCCTAAAAGCCACCACATGATTACCATAATCTAGCATATTTTTGCGAATTTATTGAAAAGACGATCGTTTGTTTTGTCACGATCTAGCTTATTGAAACCATATTTGAAGTAACGTTTCAATAAGCTTTAGGAATTCTTTTTCCATGTTTTCCAGTTATACCCTTAATATTTTCGTTATAGATTAGGTTTTTTGCCCTAATTCTGTCAGCTTTATCTACGTCAAGTCGTCGGGTCTTTTGCACAAATTAAATATTTTTATCGTACAACTTTTGATGCCTTGTACAGGTGAATAAAGTGTTTATTAATATAAATAAAACAACATAAAAGAAAATCCACACTTGTACCTCATCTCCAACCAATCCCTTATTATAATCATCTTCTCCAGCCAATGCCTCATCTCCGGCCACCATGCATGAAAATACACTCACACATCAAAACACACCAAATTAGCCTAAATCCAAACTAATCCACCAAAATTAAACTCAAAAATGTGTATTGTCGAGATCTCAATAGTGTCTAAAAAACATAAAATCCAACCCATCAAACTCAAAAACAAAAACCATGTGGGACTGTGAATCCATCAAATTTGCATTTAGTGTTTCCAGGCATCAAACTCAAATCTGTGTACCCATCTAGCGATGAATCCATCAAAATCGAGATCCGACAGAGCAAAAGTTTGTCGAAATCTTAAAAAACTCGAGTTCCATAAAGATTTGTCTAGATTTGGTCCTTTTTCTTGTGCATATCTTCAAATTAGAGGCTTAAAACTGTCTTTTACGAAAAATCATACACGAAAACCCCCACTGGAAACCAGATTTTAAAACCAACAAGTTGAAAAAAATGGAGGATAGAGAGGAGTTGAGGAGTTGCATGTGCGGAAAGGGTGGGGGGGTTGAGGAGTTATGAATTCACAAATGTTATGTTACGCTATTCTTTTACTACCAAAAAACAAGATATAATTGTAGTCACAAAAAGAAATGCAAATTATATTATCTTAAGATCAGTTACAATAATTATTTTCTTGTTATATCTTATATCTGTCTGATCCCCGATTGTGTTCAGAAAATCACCATTATACTCATAACCTCCGTTTTAACTCATTTCATATCCATCCTACCTTAGAATGACGTGAGATGAATTCCTAAAAGAATCCGTCTAATTACCATCCTTACTTCACATTAATGGAAAATATTGGGTTTCTAAAGTGAAAATAAGATATTTTTCCAAATAACGAAGTTTACGCCGTCTTCCCCTTAGATGAAAGGCCTACGGACACCCAACTCTCCCGTACCAAACTTCTATATAAGATTGACAACGTTTGTTTTGTTTGGATATGGTTTAATGGTTCTGCTGAATATTTGACCAGATAAGTCATATGATCCATGCAGATCATCTGAATCATTAAATTAGACAAGTTATAACTATTTTGATCGACACACGAACTTAAAAGGAAATTATATTGTCAATGTGAGGTTCGGAGGGGAAATCTTGAAAATCAGAAGTTCAAACATTGGCCTATAATGTTAACCACTTAAGAACTGAAAGGGGGTTTTGTAAATATTTTATAAAGTTAAGGGGGTAGAAGTGACTAATTAATAACTTTGAAGCTAAGGAAAACCGGATCGTTGTAAAGCAAACCGAAAGAACCCAAGGGTTCAACTTTCAGTGGGAGTTGGCAATCAAAGAGAATAATACTCCACACATAATCTCACACTTGATCAAATCAACCAATAAATATCATGTTCTTCGGTAAGTTTCAGATCCTTTCTCTCGCTTTTCCCTTTTGATGTGACAAATTGAAGCTGCAAATTTCGGCAATTTCAAACTAATTGTCCGATTTAAGCTGCAAATTTCTTTTTATCTTTTTGTGGTGATTTTGCAGGTTACTGTGTTCACTCGTTGTTCGATTTGATTTACAGGAGATCCGTTTTGGTTCTTTGACGTTCTGTTTCTTGATCTTTAGATGCAAATTTTCAGATCAGTTTCCAGTTGCATCTGCAAAATTTTCGAATTCATGGGGTCAGTGTTCGCCTCTTTCGTTTTCTCTTCTTCGTTTGCATGTGTAGATTGAAAAATTGTATTAGTCTATCAAATACTACGAATGTTCTACGAGTAACTGAAATAACATTGTATATTTAGAGGATCCTTGCTTACATATATGAAACTTTTGATTTCTTTTGCAAATTGTAGAATATGAGATTACATTCTTATTCATGAATTCAAAAAGGAACTTCATATTATGGACTGATACTAAGAAGAAACTTCTAATGTTGTTAGCCAAAATGTGTTGCTTCAGTTATTATTACTATTCTTTTTGGGGCAGGGGGTGGATGGAGAGGAGGGGTTTACCATGTACATAGGAAAATGTTCAATGTAGTGTGTGTGACTGTATGATTACGCTGCTACCTCATAGTGTAATGGTTGAAAATATAAAAGATGAGGAACAAATTGGAAGTATTGAGAGAGGGGGTGGGGTGGGTTTGAAATCATCTTTTATTTTTATCATGGTGGTTTTCATTTTCTTTGAAGCTTGCAGGTAAGAGGAGGCTAAACTCTTACATTCTTTACCTTGTAATTAACTACAACCAAACAGCTATTAGTTCTTCCAGTGAGCTTCAAGCTCAACTTTTCTAAATGTACGTAATCTCATTCCTTGGTTGTGGTGTAAGCAAAAATGACGATCAATCTGGACTTGGGGTGTACTTGGGCAGTGATGAGATCTTGTTTTTTTTTTCCTTTTGCAAAGAATTTTGATATTGGAAAATAAACCATGCATATAGTGTCTATTTGTTTAATCAAATGGACTATTGAGAAAGAAACCTTTTTGTTTGATGTCTGAAGCTTATGCTGTGTTCTTATTCATTTGGTTATGAAAAGGTGAGGGTAAGTCTATGTCTTTTACATGTAAGATGTTAATGGTCATTCATCTATTTCCTTTTGTCATTATTCCTGGGGTTGTGAGATTTCTATAGAACTATCTTTCTATGGGGTAGCAAAATCAAGTATTTCACACAATGGCATAGGGCAGAATGTGCATGTTTGTTCTATGTTAAATAGTTTAGAATTGGAGAAATCATGGATATATGCAAATTTGTCTCTTGAGCTCTTATTGCTGAATTTCTTAGCCATGTGTTCTAACTGCATTATTTTCTAACATCTTATAGACAACATATACTTAGCCATGTCATGTTGCACTATAATTTGCTAAACCTCTGGTTTGTTGGACTATGAATTTATAGAATACAGTTTGAAAGTAAGCCGTCGGGCAGTAGTTTTTCCAACATATGATGACTGCATCTGTCCTTGTCTATCTGCAATTTCAGTTTTGTCTTCCGATTGGATTTGCAAGTTGCGACTTCCCATGATGCCAAACATAATAGAACATTGCAAATCCATCCAATTGTGTGGTGTACAGATCATTGAACATTTGAGCCTCAGTATCTTCCGAATCTGTGCATTGGTTCAAATAGTCAAAATAGAACTTGATATTTAAGAATTATAAGAATTGGTTCCATATTTGTAGCTTTAGTTTCACAAGTAAATTTCAAATATCACAAAGAATAGGAACCCACCAAAGGGCCTTTGGCCTAGCGGTATGTGAGTCCTTGGACTCCTAGGAGGTCAAGGGTTCAAACCTCACCAAAGGCAAGGAGGGTGTGTGAGTATATTTGATCTATTTCCCGTATATAAATATTATATACTTCAAAAAAAAAAGGAACCCTACCATATTGCAAACAGCAGGATTTTAAAGAAAACTTGGTTATTGTTGCTGTGAAATTTAATTTATCCTAATCATTTTTATGGTTGTAAACCTTATTTGCAACAGAGCAGAGGGTGTCTTGGATGTTGTACTAAGCCCCCACTTGTGACTACTGATAATAAGCCCACAGGTGGTCTTGGAAAAAGTGCAGATACGAGTAAACCTAGTATATTAGAGGATTTTTGGAGTAGTAGCACGTATGAGATGGATAATAGTGCACCTCAGTCTCAGATAAGCGCATCATCAACTAGCAACCTGGCAGCTGATGCCCAATGTAGTTCTGGTAGCAATCCTTCAGAATTTGTAAATCGCGGTATGTTCTTCAATTACTCGTTTGTGTAACATGTGAAATCAATACAGTGAGACATCTGAGTGTGCTATTTACTTGAATTTTTCAGTTTTCGTCGAGTTTTACAGTATTCTTTTTATGACATCCACTTACTTAAGATATCTCCAAGTCCATCATCTATGTTTTGAACATATCTTCCGTTTTTACTTCATATCTTTAGGTCAATTTTAGTACCATCTTTGGCAGCTAATTCTTTAATCTTCTTGTTCCAAGGAAAAGTGTCCCATCTTCCTTTCTGATTCTTTTTTTCCATGTAAGTGCCACCATTTCTAGGGTATAATGAAATGACCATGTTACCATATGGCTATTTAACTATCACTACTACTATTATGGCATCAGGCCTTGCAAGTACAGTAATTACTGATGGCAAACTGGAAAAGCCCCAAAATGTTGTACATTTTGAGAGCATGTCCTTGACTAGATGGAGTTGGTAATTTTTAGTTGCTTCCAGGTCTTCTTCTTTGGAACCAGTCAAGGCAACAATGGATTGGAGAGAAGGCACCTCATCACCATAAAAAAGCTCAAGAATCTGTTATAAGGTAGGAACAAGTACTATGTTAAGCTCAATCTCTATTCTTCCATTATGTTAGAAATGAAGGATAATATTTACTTGTTCTTTTCATGATAGCATGTCATAATGTAGGTTTATAGAAATGCACACATCAAGAAGCATATCTAATTCGAAAACAATTTTTTTTATCTTGGTATCATTAGGAAATTTGTTAGTCTATTACCATTTCAGGATGTTCTAAATTATGTCATCTTTTTCTTCATACAATCTTCTATCCCAAAGTAGGTAATTTAAAATTTCTCCGGTAAAAAATTTAGCTACTAGTGGAGATAGTGGTTTAATCATTTATTGGGACACTTTCTATATGTATCCGTTTCTACATGTAGATATCAACTCCACATATTTGGTGACAGGAAAGTATTCAGTTAGAAAAAGAGAGGCGAGGGGTGGATCTTGAATAACCAAGGGATTTTCTTAACTGTGTTTTTCGAATATATTATTTTTTAAAATGGAAGATCATGCTTGAACATTCTAGTGAAAGGGAAAAATGCACTTGTGCTTTTTGTGATGCTTAGAATTCTAATCCTGCTACTCTGTTTCTTGTGCAATAAGCTTGAGCTTCCTGAGCATCGGATTAACTGTAACAACGTCAATATATAGCACAAGCAATAACAGTGACATAGACAACCATTAGCTTGTTATCAAACTTCTTCAAATCATCCTCTTCTTTTTTCTGTTAAAGACTGGCCAAAATGTTTCCTGTGTGCGACAAGTTTGTCTTGGTGATCAAGGGTATGCAGCAATGTAAGTACACAAGTAGTTCGGAGTAGTAAGAGCACTTCAATCATTGATGTGCTATGTCATTTACAAAGTTACAAACATCTGTTAGTGGTATCTAAAAAAATGCAATGCATAGGTTCTTGGAGACAGGTAGGCTACCAACACCCTAAAATGGCTAGGAGGGGATTTTGTCCTATTAGATGTCAGTACGGCATTTTAAGCTGGTTAGTGTTTCCTTGCTTGTTTTAACCCCTTTTTCTCACATATGTTCCAACTGCCTTTACTATTCACTGTCCTTGATACATATTTGCACAATCATTTGCTTCATTTTTTTCATCAGTCTCATGTTCATGCTTCTTTTAGAAAACAGCCTCTCTAACCCCTTGGGATAGATGAAAGGTTTGCTTACATGCTATCCCCCAGACCCTACCTCTGAATGAGATATACCGAGTACATTTGGTTTGGTTACAGTTCTTGTATCGGCAAAGGATCTTAAAGTAGAATCAAGGGCCTTAGCTGAGCAAGCAAAATCTAACCGTATTTTTTTTCTACAGTTGGAATGCAACTTACGATAATTTGCTTGGGACGAACAAGCCTTTTACGCGGCCCATCCCTTTACCTGTAAGTCTTGCTCTGTATAGCATCTTTCTAGTCCATCCAAGAAAAGCTACCTTTCGACTTTTGAAAAGCAAATGTCCTTTTTTTTAGTTCAAATTTTAACCACGTTCACGTTCTTTCAAAAAGAAGTCTTGAAAACCACCTAAAAGGCGCAAACTTTACAACAAAAAAGTAATCAAATTTGTACCTGAAAATTGCTGGGTTTGAGTTGTTTCTGAATCCCAACATTTTATTCTGGCAGGAAATGGTAAATTTTCTTGTTGATGTCTGGGAACAAGAGGGGCTGTATGACTGACATTGGATTGTAATGGGTGTAGAGTTGTTTGTGTGGCATATCTTTTATTATGTTGATATGATCTTCAAGTGTTATGTATGTTTGGATTGGATCGAAATGGAAGGAGAGTTTGAAGAAGGCTGCACCAAACCTACCAACTGGAATCTGTCTCCAGTTCTGGTGAAATTCTTGTCTATAATTCTATTATTAAAGAATGTTTCTTGATCTTGATGCATGATTTGGGGTTCTTTAAAACCAATGCAAAACAACAAATTTTGTTGTATGAATCAAATCCAGTTTTATTTTGGTTCAACTTGTTATATTATTATTCCATTTTCTGCACATTAATCATACATAGTCACTAACAACTCACTGCTTGGACCCCTCGACAAATCTCAGTTCTACAGCCTCTTTGCTGTCAGATTTTGCGGCTTTTGAATTTGTACGCTGCCAACACAGATATCACTCAGGCAACACCGTAACACTATAAGTTTGGGGTGTTATTTGGTAGGTTTCTTTGGTCTGCGGTTCCAACTTTTTTCAAACTACCCGATAAATAAACCGAATAATATTATGTTTACTCGGTTTTGGTTTATTTGGTTCTGTCATCGGATATACTAAATAAGGGTTTTGTTTTAACAAGGCTTGTTGAACAAAAGTTCATCTTAGGGAATTTTGTTTACCAAAATACTTAGCAACTTTCTTAGTAAGTTGCGAAAAAATAGAACAAAATAACTCAAATTAAATATTAATAATATTAGATTAAATCAAACCAAAACAATATAAATATTTTATTGTAATTTCATTATTACGACCCGCTTCTTGAAGAGTTCCTTTCTTGTTTATTTAGTGTTGTATTATCATACGCTTATTAAATAAACGCTTATCCATTAAGGATTGGTTTCAGTGAGAAGAATAATTAAGATGAGAAACATAAAAAGAAATCTTCATCCTTTGATGTAAATTAGGATGAGATGTAGCTAATCATTTCCCGTATCAAGCACGATCTATTGGTGGGTTTTAAGGTTAAAGGTGATCAAGGGTTTAGATCTTTTCTTACGTTTTTCACTTTAACTCTCATTTTCACATGATCCTTAGCTACCTGTAAGTATCACATGATCCTATTTAACTTATCAACAAACATTTTCGGTCATAAAAAATAGACTGCTGGTTTTTTACCTGGTTAGCCTTTACTTGAGAAGAGTCTTCTCACTTAGTTATCAAATAAGATTCTCGATTCTTTCTATACCTATTATCGAGTAAGATTTTAGGTTTTTTTCATGTTGATGCAAAAGTTATAACCCTCATTAAAAAGCTCAAAGATTGACAGCGAGCTCCCTGGTTTGCCAAGTGGGATGAATTGAAACCATTTGCAGCCCATTGCCGTATTTTCTAAACATGTTGCCAAGGCCAATTCAAATTGATATATGAATTGAGTTGCTTTAACCGCAAAACCTTCATTAATCAATCCACCAAATGTAAAAAGAAATCCATAATCATGTATCTCTTTGATACTTTCATATTACTTTTCTTTCTTTACACATTTCACGAATCTAACTTGAAATTTCTCAAATCATCAACTTTTCCAAAGTTTATAAATGGATCACTTTTTTTTGTTTATCAGTTAGTTATTAGTTAATTTAATATAGTTTAAAAAAAACTTAAAAATGCGCATGTATTCACAAAGTATTTTCAAACTTAAAATTAATGGATTATGGATTACAATACATAAAGTCTAGTAACTTATATTTAAGACTGTTACTTAAATGTTTTATACTATACTAATATGGGAAAAGTTCAGAAATGAGAACACCTATAATTTACGCAAATGCGATAACACTTGTAAGTTCATTATTCTGTTTTAAGTCACACTTTTAGAAGGACCGAGGGGAAAGTAAAATATAAAATAAACATTTATCTTTTTCAGGAATATCCAAGGCATGCACTGATAAAATGGAAAAAACTGTAAATCATATAATCAACAAACATAATGGATAATGGTGGACATGATCATCATTTGTTTTTGATTTATCACAACATTATCACAAAAAAAAAAAATACAACATAAAAAGTCTACAACTTATAAAAACATTATCACAACAAAATCACATCATTGTCAACAACAGAAACATGAGGATAAGAAGTTATCGATGATATTAATACCATTTTAAGAGATAAAGAAAAATCTAAAATAATAAAAAATTGTTGATAAATACTAATTTATTTTTATTTATTTAAATTTTTATTTTCAGTAAATAAATTGGAAACTTAAAAATAGTTATTACATTTTCGTAAAATAGGAATGTTTTACTTTAAACCCCATCTATTAATATAATAATATAAATATACATTAATTACAATAACAAAAGTAATCGTAATCTTATATTTCTTTTATTAAAAAAAAGAACATGATTTGAGATACTAAACACGAACACACATCTTTACAGCTACCTTTTATTTATACTTATTTGCAAATTGCAACTAACAATAATTAAATAAAATAATAATAATAATTATTATTATTATTATTATTATTATAATTAAATGAGAATCCAATACAATTCATAAACCCAATAAACTGATAATTAAAAAGTAGCAACTTGGAAGGAAAATGAGTTGTAATGTGTTGGATACTCAATAAAACACGAGGGCATGTTCCAAACTTAATATGTGTTGTATATATACATACATTCATAATGAATAAATACTTGGACGCCATAAATAAATTATTTATTATATATTTTTTTTTACGTATATTGTAATTATTTTAATATATTTTCATTAACCTGATTTTATTTTGTATTAAGGGTCATTTACCTAATCACCACTTACCCGGTAAGCGTTTACCCGTTAAATTCAACATTATCGTTTACTTACCAGATAAGCACTAACCGTGGTAAGAGTTTTCACTCTCACTTACCGGGTAAGACTTTCGTTCCTTGTTTCGCTCTTACCGGGTAAGATTCTTGGTTCTTACCATATTCATCGGGTAAGGTAACGTAACTTGGTAAGTGCTTACTCGAGTAAGCATTCGGTAAACGTCCCCTTTAAATTTGACTCATTTAATATAGATTTGATTATAGAAAATATTTAAAGAAAAATTTCACAATATTAACATAGATTTGTTGGTTGGTTTTATATCTCTTGCATTGAAAAGTCCCATGTTCGAATTACGTCGACGTATATTTGTGAAAACACAAAAGATATATAAAAAGACACCAAAATTTAAGCTAAAAAATAGCAAATTTGATGATGGTGGAACTCAAACTCGAGCATTTTGTATAAATAATAATAATAAAAAAATACATTAATAACCAATCAAACCCTGATTGATTTGAGCTTAGACTTCAAAAGTCAAAAATGTCTGGAGGTCTCGAGTTCAAATCCAAAAAGTAATAAAAATTCTCTTGTGGTCACGGAGGCTCAACTGTGATAACTCCAAGATACCTGCAAAGTAGATGGTCATCCTGAGATTAATCGGTTTACATAGCGGGTTAGATATTCAGGTTAATAAAAAAAAACAATAATAACATATCAGAGTTTATTGTTATTGTTGTTGTACGTGCTATTAATACTATTATAATTACGAGTTACTCAGTTTTTAACTATTGTATTTATATAGATTAATACCATTATTATTATTATATATTTACACGTGAGTATCCAAGTTGCATTAATTTCTAACAACTTGTAATTAAATAGTTATAAAGAAAGCCATTAGGAAGGTGCACCCTAAATAATTTTGCTTAAATGATTAAATTAAATTAAGAATTTGATAACTTTACAGATTGGATATCGTATTTAAAGACTTTGTCATTAAAATATTTTTATTGGATATGTTCGTTATATATATTATAATTTTTTTTAACAAAGTTAAGATAACACCGTATTTAAAAGGGTTTATTCATATTTTTTACTGTCGTTACTTTTTGGATCATTCAGTGACAATGCGATTAATTAGAGAAACAAAATACATTTTATTTACGTGTTTATTTGTCATGTCAGGATACTTATATATATATATATATATATATATATATATAATGTTATATACAGATAAATATTTGGTCCAGATTTTTGAAACTTTGACAGCTCTTATATAAGTTAAAATGGCTTATAATTCATTTGTATTTTTTATAATCGACTTAAAAATTATTGTACGTATGTCGAGAGTCGACACGAGGTTTTTGTTTGAAAAATATTAAGATGGTGGCCTATTTGTGATTTCGAGAACTATAAGGGTATTTTTTGTTATTGAGGCAAAGATTAACAATCATGTTGATAATTGTTAATTAAATTCTTAATCCTTGATTAAGACAAGGTGGCCTACTTGCTTACCATAATTATGGATCTGTACAATTTCAATCAATTAACTATAATATAGAATTAATGCAATTTTGACCTTGAATTGACTGTTACAACTGTTATACTTTTTGTAATAATATAAAAAAATCATTTAAAAATTTAATTTGTTATGGATATTTTGTTTATTAACCTGAATATCCAACCCGTTATGGGTTATATTGGTTTCTTGTAAAATGAATTTTGTATGATTTACATGTATGTAACAATGGATTTAAAACATATAAACCTAATCAGCAAAAAATATACATAATATTATCTACATAAAAGACAGATAAATAATTTTTGTTTGTAATAATCAGATATATTAGTTTTAATTTTGAGGAAAAAAACATTTGGATCGCTATAAATTTGGTAATGAAATTAATATTACGAACTTCATGATGTAAAACTAATGAAATTAAGTAGATTTGTATTTTAAGATAGAAAATAAAGTGACATTTTGAGTGTTCGGAAGTTTGTGTTCACTTCGATTAATTCCATGATGCTTTGAATAATGATTAGAAGAATCAACAGATAGGTTTGAGGAAATTTGAAATGACGGTTGGTTGAAGAAGCACCAAAATCATATATTTCATAGTTGAGTTGATTTCAATGATCATTGATGAATAATGCGGTTCTTTTTAAAGCATCCACAATATGTTTTTTTATTAACCTAGATATCCAACCCGCTATGCGAGCCGACTAATCCCAGGGTGACCACCTGCTTTGCAGATAGTCCGGAGTCACCGCATTTGAACCTCCGTGGCCACAAAGGGATTTTTATTCTTCCTCGAATTTGAACCTGGGACCTCCTGGTACTTTTGACCTTTAGAATCAAACTCAAATCAATCAGGCACTACCCTTGTGGTTCACAATACGCTTTTTAATTGGTTTTCAGGAGGTTTTTCAAAGATGAAAAACTTCACCTTGATGTTTTTCAACATAGTGGAAGGTTTTTAATGAGAGGTTTTTTTTTGTCAAAGGTTGTAATTGTACGACTTATTTTTTTAGAGGTTTTTCATATTTAATCATTTTTAACTTTATATAATCTTATAAAAGACTTATATTTAATCAACGTTATTTATTAATTTAATTAAAGTAATTATATGTAAATATAATTAAAAAATAATATAAATTAAATACACAATTAAAGTAATTAAAGGACAAGTTAGTCTTATAAATACGTTATCATGGGTTTATATTCTTGATAAAATATTACTTAATTAAAAAAATGATTAATGAAAATATTAATAGATTTTGCATGGTTTTGGATTAATAATTAATGCTTGAAACTAGTAGCTCTAATTATAAAGAAAAAAAACCTTATTAAACATCAAACACTTATCCAAAAGTAATTTCACAAATTTTCAAGTTTATATATGATTTTCTCTCTATTTTTGAACTCTATGAATTAACTATTTCACATGTCCTAAAAATAAGTGTCCATATTTCTATTTTAATTTGTCTCAAAATAATAAGTGTCAATTTTTAAAAATAAATGTTTATTTTTTAGTTATATCTTAATTATGAAATAGAGAAAATTGTTTTTTAATTAATTTAATAATTACATGTTTTTAAAACTGTATATATTTTTCATCTTAAACATTTATTTTAGATAAAAAGAATAATAATCAATCGATAAACATACTCAAATTCAAAATAATCATTAAGCTTTATTAATACAGTATAACTTTTTTCTTGATTATATAGTATATCTGACTTTCAAAAAGATGTACAACATACTATTTCATCATTGTTTTTTATATACCAAAAAATACTTAAATAATCGAAACTAAAATAAATTACATCCTTATTCTTACATCTAAATTACAACAAAATATTTATAAAAAATAATTTTATAAATTTAATCCCATAATAATTTTTTTCATTGTATTCAAATTAACAATATAAATTTAACCATCATTTATACTTTTTATTTTATTTAAATATAATTTTTTTAATTTAAAAGTTACATCAATTTTTTATTATAATGAAAATCATGTGCCTCTAAAGTCTAATATATAGTTCAATTATGAGATGATTATACACAATTACAAAATAGGTCTCTGGTTTAATCATGTCTCCTAGTCTCACTTGCTAAATGAGCCGAAAAACGCCTTCTCACATTGGCATCCTTGAAACATTTCTAACAAATTTTCCAAAATAGATAACTAAAAAGTCAAAATCTTTAAAAAAAATTACCTCCATCTCCAATAGATTTTCTATTTTAGAGATTACACAATTACTTATCTATATTACCTTATAAATCAGATTTATTAAAAGTCTTTAAAACAATTTTTAATGCATAAAGTCTTAAAAATAACTTATAATGCATTAAGTACTATTAATTTATGCATTCAGTCTTAAAATATCTTAATCTACAATTAAAATAACATGTGATACAAGTTATCAAAATCTCATTATTACTTTTTCTTTTCATATTTTCAAGATACTTTTGACACATTTCACTCATGTCTTCACCCTCTCATACCTCTATGTCWTCTCYYCATCCCCCAAGGTGAGATTCAAACTGATATTCACCATGAGTTATTAAAAGTTCTCTCATTCAATTGCTCTAGAACTATCAGTTTCGCTCTCGATCTCTTGATTATTTGTTCTTGGTGTAAACCGAATATATTTGTGGAGTCGTTTAAATATGTTGAATTTTAAATTGTCATACAACTTTTTTCATCGATAGACTGTAAGTGAAACCATAACTCATATTTATTCAAATTATACTAAATGCCTAAAATCTTGATTTTAAAGAATTTGTTAGAAATCTTTTAAAGACAAATTCTATATGGGACCAGTTGAAATAAGTTGTTTCTCAAATAATTGAAATCATGCAAATATCGTCACTTGCACAAATAAATAACATAGGAGAAAGGAAAAATATTGTTTTTGGGACTTGATTCATTGCACATATAATTTCTCTTTCTGTTCTTCATTTATATATAAACCCAACTGGCCCCCCTCCAACAATAACATATGCGTGCTTCAACCATCCCCAATTTTCTCTCCTTTTTGCCCTAAAATCATTAGGGTTTTCCCATGATCTATCAACAATTCTGATGCATTCATCGCTTACACATCTATTCATCGTCTTGTTTTTGCTGGTAGGTTTCTTCTTTTTTGCTCTCGATCGAGGGTTTCTTGGGTTTTTGCGGCTCGGTTTTGCTGGGGATTTCCTTCAAGTGTACTCATGCAGAAACTCGTCGGTTACAGTGGTATGGATCCATATCGCTTCTTAATTTTGATTTTCTGTTGTTTTGTTAGCTAATTTGCTCAATCTATTTACCAAAAAGTTTGGTAGGAAGACAATGCTGAATTTCTTATATGACAGTGATGGAAGCATTCCCAAAATATTTACAATATGAAGTAGAAATCATACAAAATCAAACAACCCTTAGAAATGCAACTAGCTAGATGCTTCAAATATTTCATTCAGCACTTGATCATAAAGAGGATTAGCATGGTAATTTTCTGTTATGAGCGCTTACTCCAGAGTAATTGGTAATTTTCTGTTATCGAGGATACAAAAAGGAGGCCGGCATATTTGCCGTTTCTCTCTTCCAACAGTCCGGCAAAATGCAGTTCTTTTTGCTGGGCTGTTGGAGTTCATTAACCGGAAAATTAAGGTTTTTGGTTTGAAGATGCCCTGAGTAATTGTAAAAATGGATCATTGAAATCACCTTTTCTTTGAGGAACTGATCAGAATAATATAGTTTGTTTTATACTCTTATCTTCACATAATCTAAAGATAATTAGTATGTTTATATGCTTAAATGGAAGGGTTATGGGGATAAGCGTGCATCACGGAATTGGGGTTCTATATGAATATGTGATCAATGAATAAAGTCTAATGTATGTAGAATTTCCGCTTGAAGAATATGTGCCTATATCAAGCCTTTGATCTGAAGTTATTACTTGCTTCATTTTTTTGTTTTGAAGAGTAAGAGAGACACACACACGTTATTAATAATCAGGGTCTTCCCGATCTTTTTGGAGGCCCCAATACACGTTACACCCATTCTAAAACTATAGATCATCTGAAACGAGTCATAAACAAAATAAAATATAAAAGTTCATGACATTAAATCTTAGAAATTAAAACAACAAGAATGTTTAAAATGACAAAGTGAGAAGAACATCGAAGTCATTTTTGTTTTTGATCAGCAAATTCTGAAATTAAATAGTCGCTTTTGATTCTGAAAGAAATTAGATAGGTCTTCATGAGGTGGGTTCACAGGTCTATATAAATCAGGCTCCTAACACAAGTAAAATTGGTCCCCAAGATTCTGGGGGATCTGTTCAAGAACCCATACTTCACATGCTAATAAACGGCTGTGTTAATAATAAGTTTTGAACCATGGCTACTGTTCAAGAAACTTGGTTAGTACCATTAGGGCTAAAGTCCATTGATTAGATTGGCTTCATTCTTGAAAGACTTTGAATTGTGTCTTTTTAATAATTGTAAAATGGAAAAGATTGTGAACTTCTTTTGTATAATTGGTTTTCAGGGGAGGGTGATTTTTCTCATCGGAAGTCAATGTACACAAATCCAATGGATTTGGGTATTTTCTCTTCTCTTGGACATCATGTTGAGGTGTATTCCTTACCTTGCAAGAGATCTAGAATCAGTGCTCCATTTGTATTCAGTGGGGAAGTTTGTAAGAAACAGAAAACCACCATTGAAGTGCTTCCTGATGAATGCCTGTTTGAGATTTTTAGACGCCTCGGTGGAAACAAAGAAAGGAGCTCATGTGCTTCTGTCTCGAAGCACTGGCTTATGCTTTTAAGCACCATCCATAGGGATGAGATTAGCAAGGATTCAGAGAAAGAATCAATCCCCAGCGATGGGCACCTCTCGAGGTGCCTAGAAGGGAAAAAGGTTACAGATGTCAGACTTGCAGCGATTGCTGTTGGATCCGCTGGTCATGGAGGGCTCGGAAAACTTTCCATCCATGGAAACAATGTTGTTCGTGGGGTGACCAACTTTGGACTCACGGCGGTCGCTCGTGGTTGCCCTTCTCTTACGGATCTTTCCTTGTGGAATCTATCATCCATTTCAGATGAAGGCCTTGTTGAAATCGCTAGTGGGTGTCATCGGTTGGAAAAGCTTGATCTTTGTCAAATACCAGCAATTTCCAACAAGTCTTTGATGGCTATTGCAAACAACTGCCCTAACCTCACGGAACTATCGATAGAATCTTGCTCAAACATCGGCAACGAAGGCCTTGAAGCGATCAGTCGAAGCTGCCATAACTTGAAGTCTATTTCGATAAAGAACTGCTTTCTAGTTGGAGATCGAGGAATTGCAAGTTTGTTGTCATCAGCAAGTTATTCCTTGAAGAAAGTAAATCTACAGGCTTTAAGTCTCAGTGATTTATCGCTTGCTGTTATCGGACACTACGGGATTGCACTTACAGCCTTAGTTCTTGCTGGTCTTCCTAAGGTAACCGAGAAGGGCTTCTGGGTTATGGGCAATGGTCAAGGTTTGCAGAAGTTGAGATCCTTAATAATTACCTCCTGCTCCGGAGTCACTGATCTGGGGCTTGAAGCAGTGGGCAAAGGTTGCCCGAATCTGAAGCAATTTTGCCTTAGGAAATGTTCGCTCTTATCTGACAATGGAGTAACGTCTTTTGCTAAATCGGCACTTTCAATCGAGAATGTGCTGCTAGAAGAATGCAACAGGGTCACAGAATGTGGTGTTTTTAGTCTGCTCGTAAACTGCAGTAGCAACATGAAAAGTCTTACTTTAGAAAACTGTTTCGGGATTAAGGATTTGGCTCCGCAAATTCCTTTCTCTCGTTGCAACGCCTTCCGATCTTTATCCGTTCGTAACTGTCCCGGATTCGGAAATAACAGCTTGGTATTGTTAGGTAATCTTTGCCCTCAACTTCAACACGTGGAATTCACCGGGCTTCATGGAATTACCAACGAGGGCTTCACCCCTCTCATCCGGTGCTGTGAGGCTGGTCTAGTTAAAGTCAACCTTAGTGGGTCCATGAATCTGACCGATAACATGGTATCCGAAATAACTAAGGTGCATGGCGAAACACTCGAGATTCTAAATCTTGATGGTTGCAGATCCGTGACCGATGCAAGCTTGGTGGCCATTGCATTCAACTGCTTAAAGCTCAGTGAACTTGATGTTTCTGGATGCACAATCACCGACTCAGGCATTGCAGCCTTGGCATGTGCGATACAACTGAATCTGCAGATTCTTTCGATCTCAAGATGCCGTCTAGTATCAGACAAGAGCTTGCCTTACTTTGCGAAACTAGGGGTTGGTGGTTTAAATCTCCAGAATTGTGATGGAATCAGCAATCCTGCAGTTAGTCATTTAGTGAACCGCCTCTGGCACTGCGATATCCTTTCCTAAACTCCGAAACCTGTATCACTTTTTATAGGTCGAGCGACGGTCTGTCTGCATTCAGCAGTTGGTTCTCAAGGGATTTGGCTGATCCTCTTTTTTTTGCAGTTGAACTGTTAAACCAGTAGCAACTGCTGCAAGAGTTTTTTGGCCTCTTAAACAGGTCCTATTTTTTTACAGCCCTATTTCCTTGAAGCTTTCTTGCGGTTCTTGGAGACGCCTTTCGCAACGACCCTAGTTGTGTTTTAGCTTCTCACGAAGCTCCGTTAACAGGTAAGTATGTCGTTTTGCTCGTATGGTCCGTTTTCATGTTATGGGTAGACTTCAATTCGAGTTTCTTACTATATTTCAGTTTGAGTAATGGGTTGTTTTTGGTGGGCTTTGGGCATGGCAGCAAATTTAGTCTGCCATTACAACTCTCCCTATGGAGGGTTGTTTTTCATTTTTTTTCAAGGCTTCACTTGTTTTTAACCTGTTGGTATGTAACGGGTAATGGGAATCAATATATATATATATATATATATATATATGCGTCTCAGTTCTATTGTATTGTATGGTTTCTGTTATAATCAATAAATTTGTAGTTTGTTTCATACCATTTAAGCATCAATTGTGTGGTAATATATATATATATATATATATATATATATATATATATATATATATATATATCAATGTTTGTTTTTACCATATAAATATCTAAACATGAAATCCATAAAAATATTCATATAATTTTTGGTTTTTCAGTATTCGATGTTAGTGTTGTTTGTGTGGATTAATCTGTTTGTATAGATTGAAAATGTTTTTATTTGAGAGGGTTTTTCATAGATAGAAGGTGCGTATTTTTTAATTGGGAGGGGCAAATTTAGCTTTTGGTATAAAACTCTCTCTAGAAGCTTATTGAATAAGCCATTTTCAATATCATTAAGTCATTACCAAACAATTATGTATAGCTGACCGAACGAGTCCCATTAAGCAAATTAAGCTGCTAACAAACAGGACCAAGGCCCAAGCTTTTAATCTGCAGTTGGTTTCATTATTTCATATGCTTGGCTCGGGTCGTTTGGGATGCTGAGAGAAAGATTGTAATCCTCATGTATTCAATGCATCAAGTGTTGTACTTTATGCAGCAATAGTAGTACTAAGAACTAAGCAGTGGCGTAAATGTTGCACAGAGATTCAAAATGATCCATATCAATAATCCTCATGTATTCAATGCATCAATTGTTGTACTTTATGCAGCAATAGTTGTACTAAGAACTAAGCAGTGGCGTAAATGTTGCACAGAGATTCAAAATGATCCATATCAATTGTTGTTTACCTTTTCTTTTCTACCCAATCCTCTACAGATTAAGTTGTATGTCTGGATAAATGGTTGGATTATTTCTGGACATTTCCATATAGCCATTTTGGCTTAACAGCTTCATGATTAAGCGGTAAATAAACCCTCATGTACAGCAGCAAATAAGCTGTCCAGGCCATTAAGCTCATTAAGCTTCAAGTAAATAGCCTGTATATACACACACATATCAATCCCCAAATTGTGGAAAGCAACAATTTCAATCAACGGGGACTTTGTGCATCAATAGGTGTTCCTACCGGAACTTGAACAAGAGCGATGAATGCAGCTCAAAGATTCAAAATGGCATACAAATGAAATGAAGACAGAAATTAGCAATCTAATTTCAAGGGTGTTTGTGAAATTAAGATCTGAAACAGACAGACAGACTTTTCACCCACCCACCAGTTTCTTGATAATTAGTAGTAGTAAACTAAAACACATTCGATTACAGTTCATGAATCTCAAGTGTTCAACAAGCATCCAATGCTCGAATAAGGGCAAAATGGTCACACCACTATTCTCAGAAAAGAACCACAAAAACACTTACCAGATTTCGCAGGCAGCTGACTATGAACAATAATGGCACCACAAGAATTAAACAAACCCTTTAACAGAAGAAGAAGAAGAAGAAAGTGTTCCACCTCCAGTTTTCAATCCATGCCTTCGTTTATATACTTCTGAGGGCGAAAATGGAACCTACAGCTCAATCAATTACATCAATCTCGTTATTTCACTTCTCCATTTTTTCCTCACCTACCTCCTGCTCCTGCGATGAATCTTGTTTTGCTTCACTTTCTACCTCATTCGTTTTCTTGGACGATATTGTTATTTCACGGCTATCTTTAGAGTCCGAGGGCAATTTGGTCTTTTCAGATGGTAGCCTAGGAAGAGATTTCCTTGTCGGTTTCTTCGTAGGAACAGCAGAAACAACTTTAGCTACCGTTTTGTTGTTTAAAGACTTCCTCGCATCCAAGCTTAACCGAGCAGGTCGAAAAGTATTACCACCATTTGCTGCTTCCATCTCTGCTGCAGCTGAATCCTTTTTCCGTCCAAGCTTCGGAGATTTAGCTCGTGTTGTCGGTATCTACACCAATATCAACCGTTTATGTTACTTGAACAAAAGAGACAAATGTAATATAGGTCATCCTCCGATTTAACAATAATATATATTAACAAATATATACATATATACCTTCTTTAACTCCATCTTAGGAGGAGTTTCGTGATAAAAACTCGGCATAGGCGTTGCTTTGAACATAAGGCTCTTTCGTAACATTCTAATCTCAGCTTCTTGATGTTCCTATTACAAAAGCCAACCAAGTAACGTATACACTTTCCTATCATAAACCGCAGTGAGGTCCATAACCTTAAACAAACCAAACGAGAAGGTGGGGTCTAACAGACCTACCATCTACCCAATGAGTAGAGCAGTTGTTTGTGTTGTTTCTATGAATACGTTAACCGGAAATAGCTATACCTTGGTTTTTGCTTGCAATGTATTCTTTTCCTCTTCTTTTGCATGGATCTTCTCTTCGAGCTTAGAATAGAACTGCCAAAAAACAAAGTATATTTCAAGTTTTCTTGGGGCGAGTTATGCTAAAATGACCCAAAAAGTCGCAAGTCAATATTTATGAAAAGGAAAGAGGAAGCCAAACCACCAACCTCTTTCCGTTTTTCGGCCCTTTCATTACACCTAAAACTAAAACCATAGGCTGGCAGTGTGCCCAGTCTTTGCGACTTCTCGTCTCCTGTTGTCGAGCTTCTGTTCAAGTAATTAAGGACAAACTGAACATCATGCTATTTACACAATGCTCTCTCTCTGCCCTCTGCTTGTTGACTTACTTCGACTTCGAATATCAAACAAACTAATTTCAACTTCAGACATGAAAAGTTACATATTTGACCTCAAAGGTACTGGAAATGTGAGAGTAAACTAAAGGGAATGTGATACTGAAATGAATGCAATAGGAGCTAAGATGAAAAGGATACTCAGAAGAATGTGTTCTTCCATCAGTCGTACTTCCATGAACTGCTTTCACCGACTTCGCTTTATTCTTCTCCCTGTATTAAGAAAATATCTTAACAAACCTCGATAATCCACTACATGGACAAAAAGTCAAACTGATGATCATATAGAGCTAAAGGAAGGTTCAACCGTTGGGGAGAGAACCCAAACAAGGAAATCAACCGTTGGATCAGAAAATAGATGGCTCATATTCGAACATACCCCCCCCCCCCCTATAGTCGTGGATTTAGTTTTGGCAAAATGCAATTCACAACCATTGGATTAAAATAGATGAATGGTTTAAGATGGGTTAATTGTTCTCTGTTTTTTAGTATTCTCTCTTAACTTACCCTCTAATAGAGGTATCGCCACTAAGAATTAACTAAAACTCAAAAACTATAAACAAGAAAGCCAACATTTCAACAATACAAGGCTCAAACAGACAAAAGAGCTTGGTAGAATGGTTTAAGAGTAAATTGAACATACTTGACACCTTCAGATTGCACCACGTTTGCAGTAGACATTAAAGAATCCGACTTTCCAGGTTCCTGAGGTAAACAAATCGACTTTCTGAAAAACTTTGACCAAATGCACAAGGGTAATAAAACTCTTTACTATACTGGCGCATAAAGGACGATCTCTAAAACATCGAACAAAGGTATGTAGTAGAACAAATGTACCTTAGAAAGAGGAGCCTTAACTTGAACAATTGCAGGTTTCGAGTTGCTGCTCTTCTTCTCACTAGGAACTGATTGTTTCAGGTGTACATCTGAAGCAACTGATCCACTTCTAACCGAAGAAGCTTTCTTTGCATCATTACCGTCTATTTTGTGTTTCGTATCTTTTTTAACGCCTAAACTGTTGCCTGTAGCGTCTTGACATTTGGGTTGAGCTGATAAATCGGTATCTTTCACTTCAAGTTCCTGATAGTAAAGCGACGTTTACTCTTTAACAATAAGAAATAAACAAGAGTGTAGTGAATCAAGAAAAAACGATCGATTTTTAGCATGGTTGAGTACCAAAAAGACACGCATACTATCACTCCCCAATTTGAGAAACGATGACAGCCAACAAATTTGATAAAAATTTGTTCCAAATTTGACTCAAAAAGATTCCAATGCCAAATTGCTCATCTTTCATGCCTAGAAAGCATGTGCTTTGTCTAACACATCAAATTTTTGGCAAGATCATTTACCAAAATCATCAACAAGAGATTAAAGATAGATATAATTGTCAAATACTCAAATTGACATGAGTTATAACACAGTTATATCGGCAAATGACATAATGCCATTGGTCTTTTTGGATATAAACCCTTTTTAGTACCTTAAAAGCATCAAGATTGTTGCTTTCTTCAACTTCTTCAGCAAAGGACTCGATAGAACTCCCATTTCCTTCTTTACTTTCAGAATTATAATTGGGAATCCGGGCTATGATTTCCACAGAGTCATCTTCCTCTTCATAGTTAGAAAACTGTTGATGATCTACATCATGAGTAGACCCATTGCCAGAAACAACCATGGAATCGTCAACGTCCACCATATCTACAATATTCAAAGTTTTAGTTTCACCTAAAAGATGGACAACAAGATGATTCTTCAAAAGAATTATAGTTGCATTATACTCTAAAACACATTAATTACACACATCATCCTAATTCGAATCAAAACTATAAATAATTTATCCCTATAACTCTACGATTAAGAACCTCCAAGAGGCTATGACTGGCTGCATATTAAATGGCTCTAAACATTCGACTCATTTAGGTTCACCATTTGAAAAATAGAGCATAAACAGAACATATTACTCTGCAAAGCAATGTGAGTAGGCAATGCCCCTTCTTTGTGTCTAATTATAATGTGGAGAATATATACAAACAGTATATAGGCATATGCCCTTTTCAGCTTGATCCAATGGAATACATAGCAACACTATTTAGATTCAATCAAAGAAACAAGGAATGAAACTGAATCAACAAAACCTAGTTTACATTTCTTTATTTCCCCCCAAATTTCAAGCAATCTAACTAAAGATTGAAACTTAGGGCATCAACCAATCACTTCAAAAACTGAATCTGAACTAACACAGTGAAAGAATCACACAGAAAACACATGTTTTCATGCAAAAATAAACCAAAATACATCTACCTACAACTAGATCTTCAACCCTATGAACAGATCCACTGTTGTATCTGTAAGATTCAAACCAAATCCAAAGATTCCCCACATCAAATTACACATAAACCGCACAAATTAGACCAAAAAAAAACCCAGTATTACAAATCGCACATTTAAGAAATGAAGTAGTGAAAAAGCCCGAAAATGCTGACCTAGAGTAGCAGAGAAAGATCAAAAGTCCATGAGCAGAAAAGGGGGTTTTGTAAAGAACCCTAGAGAGTAGAGATGGATCTTCGGAAGACGATTGAAGAAAATTTTCAGTCTTTTTGTTTGAAATGCAAAAGGGTTTGTGTGCCAGCGCCTCTCAAATCTTTTCCAGGTCACTTCGAGAGGATGAATGTATCAAGATATATACACAGTAGAAAATACAGTAATAAAAGAGTAGAGAGGGTGATTGAAGATTGACGGAAACGAATCTGGTGGAGCGTCGGTGATTAATGTTAGTTGCAATCTGTAAATTACATTATGCCATGTGGCCCTATCACTTCCCATCTAAGTCATCTACCAAATCCAACGGCTGCTAAATTCTCTTCAAATTTGTCAAAGCATATTCCTTTCACGGTTAATTTTAAAATTACCGTCCTCTTTTTACAAGATTGCAATCTAATCATATATAGGGGTCGTTTATCGAATACTTATCCGGTAAGTACTTACCGATAAAATTTAATACTATTATTTACTTATTAGGTAAGATTTTAGTCCATCAAAATGATATCGTATGCAACAATTTACCCGGTAAACGCTTACCGTGGTAAGAGTCGTCTCCTTCACTTACAGGGTAAGATTCTTGGTCTTTGTCTCATTCTTACCAGGTAAGATTCTTGATTTTTACCATATTCATACGGTGAGGTAATGTTACTTGGTAAGCACTTACTCGGATAAGTTTTTGGTAAACAGCCCCTTAGTAATTGATTAACAAGACATCTTACCAAGTTACTATCTTGCCCCAATTCCAGTATTCCACCATACCACCCAACTGGTCGTCTTCTCATCGGTTTCAATCCCTGTCGTTTTCCCGTTTTCGTCTATGAGAAGATGGATGTTGAAGTGATAGTCAAATGAAACAACATACGTCTGAATCATAAACACACTACACAACTCTAGAAAGATGATAGATGGTAAAACGCGTACTTATGATGTATATCAATACTAGTATTTATGGATGTTTGTCGTTTGATCGACTATACTTACAAGATACTTCAAATGGGAGTTTTCACGTATACAAAAACGCAATCAAGGTATATACAAACACAAACTTACATTTGTGAAAAATAATGGCATATTCTTAATGATAACCACTTGAAATCCCTCCTTCGAGATCAGATTAATACATTAAGGAGCATGATCTTTTCCATAAACCACAAAAAGTACTATAAATTTGAACATATTTTTCAGTAAAAAAACGTTCTTGGTGACATAGTCAATAGGGGTGTTTATAAGTTGGATTGATCCAGTTGAAGGCATTTAAACAGCCCCTCTTAATGTTTGCAGTTTGAAAGGGGTTGAACACCACTAAGGTTGCAAACGCTAGTTGTATGTCTTAATAAGACATACCATTTGTGTTGCCCAAGTTGTGGTCCCATTTTCACCCAATATTCGAGATAAAATATGCTAGGAATTTGTTCACAAAACGATTACACCATTGCCTCAAATATTTTTGGGTCCGAAAATGTTTTAATTGATTAATAAAAACAACGAGAAAATTTATGGTTGTTATTTTACAAACGACCCTCTGGACCCCCTTACTTATATTCCAGCTCCAACCTTCGGTTGATGCATTTTCAATGTCAATTTTTAAACTTTTATTGATTATCGTGAACTTTGTTTTATGCCCGATAGTTTTTGATGAAAACACAGCACGCTGCTAAATATAAAAAAGACTAACACGCCAATTATAAAAACTAAAGGGACGTATGGTGTAAATTTAGACATTTTGTAAGAGTTTCCACATGAACCATCATATATAGATACATAAGTACAAATATATATATATATATATATATCCATACATAAACATAGAGAATCGATTGTGTGATTTTTTTTAAGAACCATAGGAACACTTTCATAGCCCTCGGATGAATCTTGCCTCATAATCCAACGCACAAAAACGTGGTGGCATAACCTTCATTAAATGGAACTTAAAAGATAAACTGTAAGGTTAGCGTGAACTTTACATTATTTAATACCCTTGAAATACCTTAACATGATGGCCTTAACAAATCTGTACATGAATTAAGTTTAACACAATCTTATTGTGTCTTAACTTGAAAACTTTAACACGTCTTAATAAAACTAAAGATGGAAAAAAAAAATGAACATTAGCACACCTTAACGTTAAAAATACTGAATATTAGCATGTGTTAACGAACTTTAACATGAAAAACATTGAGTATTAATGTATATTAACATATATTACCATACATTACCCAAAAAAATGTTAGCATACGTCAACAAAATCTATGCGCCTTGTTTAGATGCAGGAAGTCCATCACTGATCAACCTCTATTTCAGAAAGGGTAGCGCGAAACGCGTCCACATATCAACGTGTATGCCCTTAAGATCAACAGCCATATCAGGGTTCCTATGGTTCTCAGAAAAAAATAATATTCAATTCTTGTTGGAACTCAGTATATACTTATATATATATATGTGTGTGTGTGTGTGTGTGAGAGAGAGAGATAACCACGTATATTGTGAGAACCGTTAACTTTTACTTTAAGGTATCGTTTCATATAACTTTTTTCCATCTATGACTAAATTTAAGGTATTGATTAACAAATATATGTTTCACAACGTCATACCTTTTAATGTGTATTATGTTTCACAGACACGTAAAAATGTTTCACATTGTGAAACAAATACATAAGATTATTTGTTTTACATTATGAAACAACATTGTATTATCACAATATGAAACAACTTATGAAATAACACATGATTATCTACTCTCACAATTCTCAACCTTTTGTATATTTAATTATCCTGATATATAGTACAAACACTTTTTTTGCTCACATTTTTGTATAAGTCAGAGTTATCACGAAAACAATCACTTTATCATTTGACATGTTTGCATATATTTTATCCTTCAAACCGTAAATTCAAGTGAGATTATACATATAACGACTTTATTTAGTTTAGGTCGAGTTATATAAGATACATAAACATATAAAAAACTTATCGGATAGATAGAATTCATTTTCAATTCCCTCTCAAACTCTTCTTAAAATCACAATTTAAGTTTTTATTTATAAATAATAATGATGGCAACATATAATATTCAATCTTGATTATCAATTAATTTAAGTTTTTACAAGTCTCATGAAAATAGGTTGATCTCACGTAAGCCCGACCTTTTATATATATATATATATATATATATATATGTGTGTGTGTATATGTATGTGTATGTGTATGTATATACTTCTTAAAAGAGTGTGAAATAAATTTAGCACGTAACTGATAATAGATTATGTTTCTTTATTTTTTGATATTTATAAAATGAGGTAACACATGTTTTTTTCGTTAATATTAATATTAATATTAATGTAGTGGGACATGATGGCACATGTTACCCATTTTTCTTTAAGATTTATTAAAACTAAAAACTGGATAATCAAAATTTTAAACAACAAAAAGAAACCATCATTTTTTAAAACGGACCGTCTTTTTTCTAATTTTAATCTTATAAATAATTAAAATATTAAATATGTTATAGACTAATGTTAAAATAATAATTGAAGCTTTTTAATTAAACAATTTAAGATATAAAACATTAACGATATATTCATGGATGAACCCCATAACCATCTCAGGTCACCCCTTGTCCCCTCCTTCTTCTCTGGCCATTTGGGTTCTTTTATCCTTTTCTCTCTTCTCCCTCTGCTTAATTCTGACATATCTGTGTCCCATTGAAGAATTTGTAGCAAATACTACGCTTCAATTGCTGTTCCTCCCTCCCTTTAGCGTTGATTCCATCTCTTACATCATTGTTACTCCATCTATTGTCGTTCCCATTTCTGATGGTTTTCTTTTGTAACTTATCGATTCGGTTGATCTCACTTCAAGATGGAAGGGTTCTCGATGATGATTGGTTTACATAATGGACTGTTTTCTTTTTTTCCTTTTTTGCAAGCGGTAGGTGGAGGCCACGGTAAAGGGGAGGGTGACCGGGAAAAAGGAGAAGTGGGAGGGTGTGGTCGGAGAAATCATGGGGAAGAGGAGGAGAAAAATATAAGAAAACAGAAAAAGGTTTTTTTTTAATGTTGATCACACTTGTACCTAAGCTATATAAACTTGTACATTTAGAAAAACAAAATGGCCAAAAATGTCCCTTGACGAACAACATTACAACTAACAGTGTTAGTGTTAGGGGCTAGCTTTAAAACAAAATGCATACCATGATGACTATTGTTGCTCTTTTTGTGTTTGAGGGACCACTTTCATAGATTTTACAAACCATAAGGACCAAATATGTACTTTACCATAATTTTTATTTGAATTTGTTTTCAAAAAAGAAAAAAAGATATTGAATGCAATATCTCTATGTGTTTTAAAAATTATAATTAAATTTCTACTATTTATTAATCATTATTTATAAAAATAAATAACTTTTAAATCAACTTAAAATTATAATAATTTTATCAAAGACCTTCCAGCCTAGTGGTAAAGGCTTGGGCATGACATAGTCATGAACCTGAGTTCGAGCCCTGGAAAGGGAGTGTTGGCGACATTTAAGTGGGACCATGTTTAGCCTCCAAATTTATCGAGGATTAGTCGGGCTTTGGCCCGGACACCCTTACAAAAAAAAAAAAAAAACAAGTTACCACAAAAATTTCGCAGTTGTTTAATATACGAGTGTATATATATATACACACGTTACGTTCTTTTATTTTATATGCATATATTGCCCGTGACGAATTTATTGTCTCAAATCACTAGTTTTGAACTTTTAAAATATGAATAAAAAAGTGCTTAGTTTTTCAAAGAATCGGTCTTGTAAACATATCAAAAAGAATACTCGATAATATAATGCAATTATATATAAGAATTTAAATACATAATTGATAAATTGTCTCATTGAAATATATAGTTCGTGAGAAAAGTTCAATTGTGAACTTAATTTTTGTTGTGAACCCGGGAACAAACAAGAGGGGGATATGTCTCCTCATTCATCATAAACAACACATGTGAATCTTTTACATCATTCATGATGAATATCTTGTGCATGTCTAGGCATGTGACACGCTCTCGTTTGTTCCTTAGTTTATAACAAAAGGTAGGTTTTGCAACTGAATTTGTCCCAATAACTAGAGATGGCCAAATGGGCTCGGCCTGGCCAGGG